CCCGTAACATATTTTTATACGCCCACATTTTCATGTGGACGTATATTGTCGTCGCCCCTGTCCGTCCGTCCGTCCGGACGTCCGTCCACAATTGTTTGTGAACAGTCTACAGGTCACAATTTTTATCCGATGTCAATGAAACATGAAATATAGGTTTATCACCCTAAGATCTCGGTTCCTTTCGATATTGGCATCTATCGGACCGTAACTTCATGGGTTATGGCCCCTGATTGCACGAAAAATCACGTTTTTGGCTTGTGAACACTGTAGAGGTCACAATTTTTATCCGATTTTGTTGAAACTTGAAATGTAAGTTTATAACCCAAAGATCTCGGTTCCTTTCGATATTCGCGCATATCGGACCGTAACTTCCTGAATTATGGCCCCTGATTGTACGTAAAAACGCGTTTTTTGGCTTGTGGACCCTAAAGAGGTCATAATTTTTATCCGATTTAAAAAAACGTATTATTATATCACCGTTACACCCTAAGGACGACTGAGTTCGAATTTCGTGAAAATTGGCCCAAAACTGACTGACAAAATGGCGGGCCCTTGTTCTCAAATAGCGTAAAAATATGGTATATCAAGGTTGTGGACCCTATAGAGGTCACAATTTTTATCCGATTTTGTTGAAACTTGAAATGTAAGTTTATTACACAAAGATCTTGGTTCCTTTTGATATTTGCGCATATCGAATTGTAATTTCCTGAATTATGGCCCTTGATTGTAGGAAAAATCACTTTCGTTTAGCTGGTTTTCTATCCATCTCTCGAAAATGTGGGCGTATACTGCCTGGCAGCCGCTGGTTCTCATTTTCTAAGAGCTATATATATAAATCGGTCTTTGCGTGGTTTTCTGTAGACACTGAAATTTTGGTATTTACATGCTTGAATCGGCATTACGGTAACCGTAAGCACGGGTATTTTATTTTTTGGGCTTGCTAAAAACAATTTTTTTGAAACGGAACAATTTTGTAAAATAATATTACATGTCAATGTTTTGTGGATTATTAAATAATACATACTTTGAAAATGTTATTTTGATCTAGTAATATCACAGAAACTGTAAGAACACATGCCATAGCAATAGGAATTGAACCATGAAACTGTGCTTTAAATTTGTAAATAAACACTGGCTAATAAAACGGTAAAATTAAATGAAGTCATGGCCTTTAAGCAGTGATTTGAGACTCGCTGACAAGCCTAAAACGTGTTCAAAATGTCACTTGGTAGACCGTAGATGACGCCATTTAGCTGGCCTTTAAACCACTACTTGTTTGATTATATTGGCTTAATTTGTACAGAATTATAAATAAGTAATGCTAAAAATTCAGCTACAAAATGTAAAACATTATTTTAATATTTAGACATATACAACAAATAAAAGTCGTCTAATTTAAAAAGAACACATCTCATTTGTTGAAGTTCGGTTTATTTTGAAACTACAAGTATTTTCCACGGGTCTAAAAAAAAAAGAGTCCATATTGGCTGTACAATCTTCGTAATTCCAGTCCATATTTACTCGACTTCGTTTACCGCTGGACGTCCATTTTATAAAAACAAATTTCATTCACGGGCCACACTTCGCCTAAAGAATTATAGTATACATTGTGTTAGTGTCAAAAAAAAAAAGAAAAAAAAAGATGACACTAATCAGTTAAAGACTGCATTTATAGACTTTTTTTTTTGGGGGGGGGGGGGGGTTGTCTGAAGAACTGAGAAATGCACAATCATTTTTCAGAAAATGTATTTCTCCTCATTCGAAATTGTAAATCGACCTACACTCAACAAGTCAAAGGTTTTTTTCCCCCCGATATGTCAGTAAAAAATAACAAACACACTGAATGTCAATGATAAATCCTAACTTAATTACTTTTTGTGACTTTGGTGTCTATTAAAACAGGCCAGGCAGCCTGATCATGCTCAATTTTTTTAGTCATTTTTTTTTTTTCAAATCGAAACTGATATTAATATGTTGAATAAGAAGTAAATAAGGCTTCACAGTTTGATAAAAATAGTTTTCTTTCTGATATGCAATTTAACAGCACACTAATAATGTTGTTTGTAATCCATAGGCCTTATATAATTAATGTGCAAACTATTGCTTTCTCCCACTATTTATTCAAATGCAATCCTAAAGGAGTTATTCCCCCTTTTTCTCATGCATATTGCGAATACTCGATTGAAAGTTCAGGAATTGTATCTCAATCCTGAAAATAGCGAAAAGGAAGATTTTGTGCTGCATAAGAAAATACCTCAACCAACCATGACAGCTTTATATATTATGTTGTCTTTAAATATGTCACGATTTTACTAGCATCATGGAGCTTATGCTAACATCTGTGTATCACTGTTTTGGGGACAGGCAGAATTGTGACTGGGCTGAACTCCGCGTCATTCGATTGCAATTCAGTACGTCCCAGTTAGACAACCGAGCACCCCCGTATAAACCAAATAATGACACTTATTATTAATAAAATTATATATTTCAAGATCACTTCTTTCTCTAATACTTATCGGTATAGAAAACAAGCCAACAGTGAGACTGATGTCCCCCGCCGAAATAGGAAAATAATTAGAGGACACATATAAAAATCAAATTGCGTATCGCTCTGCTTACCCTGAGCAGAAAATGCTCATTATCAAACTTAGTCAAGGTATTACTGTAATGAAACTATACACCAAGTTTCATCAATCTCACTTAATTAGAACTAAAGTTATCGTGTCCCAAAGCATCAACCAATCAAATTGCTTATCTCTGCTTACCCTAAGCTGAAAATGCTCATCTTCGAACTCCATCAAGGCATTGACCTAATCAACACATACACCAAGTTTGAACATTCTAGCTCAATTAGGAAGAGAGTTATCGTGTCCCAAAGCATCAACCAATCAAATTGCTTATCTCTGCTTACCCTAAGCGGAAAATGCTCATCTTCGAACTCCATCAAGGCATTGACCTAATAAACACATACACCAAGTTTGAACATTCTAGCTCAATTAATAGTTATCGTGTCCAAAAGCATCAACCAATCAAATTGCTTATCTCTGCTTACCCTAAGCGGAAAATGCTCATCTTCGAACTCCATCAAGGCATTGACCTAATCAACACATACACCAAGTTTGAACATTCTAGCCCAATTAGGAAGAGAGTTATCGTGTCCCAAAGCATCAACCAATCAAATTGCTTATCTCTGCTTACCCTAAGCGGAAAATGCTCATCTTCGAACTCCATCAAGGCATTGACCTAATAAACACATACACCAAGTTTGAACATTCTAGCTCAATTAGGAAGAGAGTTATTGTGTCCCAAAAAGTGTGGACAGACAGACGGACAGACAGACGGACGAACCCATTTTAATAGTCCCCTGCTTTCTTCGAAAAGCGGGGGACAAAAACAGGTTTACTCCTCATTAATCGATTTAAAATTACGTGTATAAATCAAATAATCCGCACATGCCATGCATGATTTCCGAAAAGGCGGCACAGGGGACGTATGCCCTACATTGTTTTAAATAAAAATTAAGCAAATAAATGGAATGTGAAAAATAAACACCCCATTGAAATTTAAATGCGTATAAAATATATAACATGTACAAAATAATTACAAATACCGGTTGCATTTCACCGATATCCAACACACATGCAAGGGAGGTAAGTATAAATAGAGAATAGGTGTCAAACCACCATTAATTGACATCAATGTTAATTCTGGTCTCTTTGCCCGGCTCCATATAATTCCATTTTGGATGTCAGCTGTTTCGTAACCTGGCTGTTTCGTACTTAGTTCATTTGTACCTCACATGAGCCGTTTTGTACTTCACTTCGTACCTCAAATTGATTCGTACCTTTTCCTATGTTGTTGAAATCAGTTATAAGAAATTGAAATAGAGGTGAAATGATTTGATCAAATCCAACGGCTACGCTAAATTTATATTACACAGCCTGCTCAATAGTAGTAATTCACACTTAATTAATGGATTTGTTTATACTAAAATTGCTTCAGCATTTCACTAAATTTACATCGGTTACGATCGAAAGCCATTTTCATGCAGTTGGGTTTCAATAACAGAACTACCCCGTGATATGACCATATATATGGTTTATGATATAGAGAGAGAGAGAGAAATGGGGTTTAACGTCCACTCAACACAAACTAGGTCATTTCGGGACTAACATATGGTTTAATTTTATTTCAGAATATATAACAGAATGGGTTCAATAATAATCCCCAGATTAAATACTTTTTCATTCGTTTTTTAAACTGCTTTAACAATCACCAATCAACTGTCGTCAATAATCACAACTCACTGAGCAGAATGGGTTCGATAATCAACATCAGATTTAAAGAAAGGCAGGTAATCGTTTATTATTTCAATTTCTTTCAACAACATATAGATTTATTTTAATTTCTTTCAATTCATTTCAACAACATATAGGAAAAGGTACGAATCAATTTGAGGTACAAGTCACGTGTGTATTCTAATTCTCGTTCGGCAGCCATTTTTATAAATTTAGCGCAGCCTTTGGATTTAGGAGAAAGAACTCAATTTGAGGTACAAATCTTGTGCATATTCTAATTCTGGTTCTGCATATTCAATTTCTTTCAACTGATTTCAACAACATAGGAAAAGGTACGAATCAATTTGAGGTACGAAGTGAGGTACAGTTGTAAGAAGCCCGATTACCTGTTTGATTAACTAACGTCCGCTTCAAACGAAGTGACATCACAGAACAAGCCAAATTACCATACAGTTGTCCTTTTTTTTTTTAGTAAGAAGCCCAACAGTCATGCTGTTATTGTTAGAAGCCCAATTATAGTTGTGTATTTTATGATAAGAAGCCCAATTATAGTTGTGTATTTTATGATAAGAAGCCCAATTATAGTTGTATTTTTCATGATTAAAAGCCCAACTATATATAGTTGTGCTATTTTATGGCAAGAAGCCAGCTGTAGTTCTGTTCTTCATAGATATAGAAGCTAACTATAACTGTGAAACAAGCTATTGTTTTAGTGTTTATTGTATTGGATCCGGTACAATATATGTACTATCCACAACCGTTTGATTCTCATCTATTTCTAGTCTGTGATATGTCTCTTTTAACATTGCAAATAAAGGAAAACATGCAACTGTTACCCCTAGTAACGTCCAACTCATCCATCTGGTACCTATAACATAAACAAATTTCAAATATTAAAGGAATGGATAGATCAACAGATAATAGATGAATAGATCCGTGAATATGAGATAAATGACTTAACATTTTTCAATATAAGATAAATGACTTAACATCCTTGAATATAAGATAAATGACTGAATAGCTTCCAGGAATGACATAAATGAATGACCAGATTCTGGAATATAAGATAAGTGAATAAACAGATCCATGATGGCAACATAAGAACCCATGGTTTATCCACAACTAGGGAACAGATAGATGTGACTGAACAATCTGATATATCTAGGAGCAAGCAATCTAGTGACAGGCCAACATCGAGAATAAAATATCAAACTACCAGTCAAGTGGATGGATAAAGCGACAGACTAGCATTGAGAATAGGAGATGGAACTAACAGTCAAGTGAATGGATAAAGCAACAGACTAACATTGAGAATAGGAGATGGAACTAACAGTCAAGTGAATGGATAAAGCAACAGACTAGCATTGAGAATAGGAGATCGAACTAACAGATATATAGAAAAATAATTCCACTGGTAGAAACACAGATGGATAAAATTAAAAAATTAAAGAGCATTAAAGCCGCCAATCATCATTTGCATTTTCAGATGATATTGAAGAGCCATATCAATATATTTAACCCCAACACTTGCAGGTGGCACTGGCTTGTTAGGTAAAGGATGCCAAATGATGCGAAAACTTCGGTTTATCATATCTTTGTTAACACTTAAATTAACACTCAGTGGAACTGAACAATTTCCTTTAGAGATTTAATTTGTACAATATTGTAGGCTTACTTTGAAATGTATTCAAAATTCCTCAAATGACTATCCAAGACTTTAATCAATGAAAGGTGAAATACTGTACAAAATCCTACCTATATCTGGTACCATTAAAATAAATAGGAATATTAATCCACTTAGATTATTTAAGATGGTCACAACACCATTTGTTGTTCCCTCACCAATAGGATAGGCTAATTCACACGCTAATTCATATAATAATGGTATTGCAGCATTTAACATCATAATACTAATAATTACAGTGACATACATTACAACTGAAATATAAAAATTTACAAATATATAGATATCGGAAATTTCATATGTAATCATTGTAATTCAACAATATCTCACATTGTAACCATAACAATTCAATTACACCCTACTCTGCACATTGTAACCATAGTAATTCAACATGTCACATTGCACATGTAACCATAGTAATTCAATAACCAGTTAAATTGTACATGTAACCTATTAATTCATTAACAGGTCACCTTGTACGTGTAGGCATAGTAATTTAGTAACCATAGGCGTACGGGCTTGATGACAGTTTACAGACAGCGGCGCGGTCTTCCTCGAGAGGCGAAGAATCAGAGCTTACCTTGTGTGGATCCCCGCTCCCCCAAAGAAAATTTTGGAATATTTGATGGCTGCAAACACGTTTTCCTGCTATTTCAGCCCGTGAGCAAAGCAACTTCAAAGTGGTCTAATATAGGCTAATTAAGATGGCTGACTCGAATTCCAATCAAAAGATCAATTGTTTACAGTCCACGGAGACGGGACCATTGGGAGAAAATTTTAAAAATTTAACTACCGCAAACGCGTTTTCCGGCTATTCCAGTCTGTGAAAACGGCAACTTAATTTGGTCCAATATAGCATGCCTGGCTGACCCGAATTCCAAACAACCAATCAATCATCGTCACGGGGTATGGGGCCTCACCCTCCCGGAGAAATTTTTGAAAATTTAACCACCGCAAATGCGTTTTCTGCTATTCTAGCACATGTAAGCAACGCCAAAAGTATCCAATGGTTTTGTAACCGAAATCCCATTCTGAATTCCAACCGTCCAATCAGACTGTTGCAGCTGCATTCACATATAATAATCGATGCCCGAAAAATGTCGCACAGAGTAGAGTGGCTCCAGACAAAATGTTTTAATCCATAGTCAACTCAGTACAAATGCATTGTATTCAATTAAAATAAAAGTAAAATTAGTGTTTTATTAGGGCTCGATGACAGTTAGGGGAGCAAAACTAGAAATGCCTGAAAAAATTTCAGGTTTACAGACAGCGGCGCTGCCCTTGTATGGACCCCCCAAGAAAATTTTGGAATATTTGACGGCCGCAAACGCGTTTTACTGCTATTCCAGCCCATAAAATTAGTGTTTTATTAGATTTCGGGCACTTTATTTTGGCAAGTAGATGAAATAAATTTTTTTTTCACTTTACCCGTCTGCCCCAAAAGTCAGCTTGCCCGAAAGTTAGGGGGGCAGTGGCCCCCCTGGCTCGCACGGCTATGTTAGTAACAGGTCACCTTGTACATGTAACCATAGTAATCCAATTACAGGTCACCTTGTACATGTAACCATAGTAATTCAATAACAGGTCACATTGCAAATGTAACCATAGTAATTCAATAACAAGCTGTCTGGCACATGTAACCATGTAATTTAATAACGAGAGAGAGAAAGAGAAAGAGAGGCGGGGTTTAATGTCAGGTATTCTTTAGTAGTGGGAGAAAACTGGGGGAACAATTGAAATTCCACCAGTTCAGAATGGTGACCCTACTCCTTGTTAGTACAAGCTTAGGACCAAAACCATGTCACTTGACTAAATGATAAGACTTTACAGTTTTACCTGTAGATGTAGGTAGAATTTTATCAGCAGCTAAAGCAAACCAAGCTATAAATGCAGCTCCGATGGCATATAATATAAATACAAATAACTTTAATCTTTTCGAAAATATATCAGCAAATCTACAAAAAAAAAGAGAAAAAAAGAATTAAAGACTCATTGCATCATTTTAGTGACATAGGAATCCCTAGCAAACTACGATATTGTGAAAGATGGATAAGAGAGAGAGAGAAATGGGGTTTAACGTCCACTCAACAAAAACTAGGTCATTTCAGGACTAACATATGGTTCAATTTCATTTCAATAATTGAAATAATGGTCTTAGCAGTGGGAGGAAACCGGAGGACTCGGAGAAAGCCCACGAGGCTGGACAGGCGACCCTTCTTCTTGTCACGTACAACTGGGGATTCGAAACCACACCAGTTGACTCAATGACAGACCTTATGATACAACGCGCACGTGCTAACCATTCAGCTATCCAACCCCCCCTTGTGAAAGATGAATCTCTAATAAATGTAATGTGGTTTAACATCCTACTTTTCTGCACCTACTGGGATAATGAAGACAGGAATCTCTAGTAAGAATATCGATCCAAAATGGTTAAATTCCATTCAGTATTTACATAGATATGTTGAATTGAAATTTCATCAATCTATGCTGCTCGCTATGTAATAAGCCTGCCACCATTTTATTGTCTGAGAATAATTATTGATGCACCTATTTTAAATCCCAACAGATTATCTAGCATTTGTATTTATATTTTGCTTTCTTAATTAAATTTTAAGTACATGGATTAAGAAGTAAGAAATATAATATTTTAGTGAATGACTTATCGTTATATTAATGAGTTATACTTTTAAAATATGGGATTAGATTATTAGTTTAAACTTCAGGGCCTATTTTAACGTGCCTACAGACACGGACGTGCCTCGAAATGAAAAATCCATGCTTGGAGAATCTAAAATTCATGCTTTGAAAAGATGGTATAATGGTATGTTATGTATCCTTGTGAATCTGAAAAGATCGCATGAGGAAATTTAGCAAGTGTGTCATTAACAATCATTGTGATCATCAATCAATGCGTTTGGTTTCGATTCAATTTCGTGGATTGTATGTAAATGTCGAAAAATAAAGCAGTTGTTGACGCAAGTAGTCAGCTGCATGTTACAGTAAAGGTTCGTCTGCTTTTGGGCATTTCTTTGGACTGCCAATGATACCGATACGCAGCTATAAATACAAATGTCAATAGTATGCAAATTTTAATTTAGGCCTCAATTTTTGACCGTTTTAGATGTTGAGGATCAAAAGATCTTGGTTGAATTCGATTTTGGTGCATCTGCTTGGATTATGGCCTTACATACACAGAGCGTAACAAAGTTTGTGAGCTTTATATTGTGATGAATCATACCGATAATCAGCATTCCGCGACCTTCTGTTCTGGAGTTAAGCCCCCTGGAAAATCTTGTGGAAGCGACAGGGACTTGCGTTTTAACCGTGTTTTATTTTTTCACATTTGATGTGAAGCATTGGGGTCATGAGACGACAAACCCCATCGAGTTACCAAACTTTGCCAAAAATCTTGTGAACGCGATATAGGCTACAGTTTCATATTTGATGTGTAGCATTGGGACAATGAGAGGTTGAGCCCTATCGATTTTCCCTGTTCCCTATCCATATCTTACAGAATCTCGGCGTATCGTGTATGCCAACTGCTTGTTTTGTTTTAAAAGTGTAAGCGTGGTGATAATTCAGGAAGTTTTTATTTCACTTCTGGTGAGCCTTTGTTTTGGTCACAACTAATTTGGTCACGATTTCAGAAGGTTTATTCCAACACATTAGAGCTAATAATGGTGATGGAAGAAGCTAAATTGAGCTACCAAGTTCTGTGTGGAAAATCATGAGTCATGTTTGGGAAACCCAGTCAAAAAACTTTCATCTCCGGAAACCATGCTTCGTCAATAAAACCTTAAAATAGGCCCTGTTAAACTTTTAATGCATTTAAAATTTTTAAAAAAGTAAAGAGAGAGAGAGAGAAATGGGTTTAACATCCACTCGACAAAAACTAGGTCATTTCGGGACTAACACATGGTTGAAACCGAGAAAGAAAAATAAAAAAAACTAATGTGGTTAATATTTTAATTTGATAGAACGCATTATACCTAAATGCATTTTAAAAATAATGTAATTTTTGTTTTACAGAATTAGAATTGGATACCGAGGTTTTATAGGGTGCCAAGACTTACCTAGCTATTACAAGTGATGCTACACACGCTGCACAGGTTGCATAAAATCCTATCCAACCAGATTCATCCTAAAATATGATTTTCAAAAATATCAATTTGAAATCTGGCAGGAAGTAATTAATGTAATCTGAAGGGAGAGAGAGAGAAATGGGGTTTAATGTCCACTCGACACAAAATAGGTCAATTCGGGACTAATATATGGTTCAATTTTATTTCATTAATTCGTTTGTGCGTAGGAGGAAACCGGAGGACCAAGAGAAAAGCCACAAGGTTGGACATGCCACCCTATTTCGTGTCACATACAAGCGGGGAATCGAAACCCCACCACTTGACTCAATGACAGACCTTATGATCCAAAGTGCATGCATTAACCATTCAGTGCAATCTGAAGGAGGTCTACATATCTGTACATTGAAATTCATGATATCCTCTCTCCTAATGGTTAAATATATATATATATTTTTTCCAACAGTTCTGTCATGATTATTTATTATATGTTCATGTGTGCAATACTAGGGAGATTTTATCCAAGACAGCATTGTTTTCCAACAGAGGACTTCAATTTTTAGTCCCATCAAAATAACTAGGCTGCAGTTAACTTGTTAGCCCTGTAGACGTTGTGGACTTCATATTTTAGTCCACTGGCTGAAGAACTAGGCAGCAGCTAAACCTGCCAGCACTACTCATGAAAAGTGGGAACCGAGTTTAATAAAAACCTGAGATTCTACTGGGTCTATGTTAGGGAATTGAACCAGGGATATTCTAGTTGATGTCGATGATCGAAAGAAATTTATAAAGCTTTAATTACCTGTGATATACCTAGAGGTGAAAGGTTAACATTTAATACACTGGCCCAACAATTACATACACCTGTAGATATACCATATGCTATAGCTACGTACCAAAACTGACCACATCTATAAAATATATAAAATTTGAAATCTAGAAAGCAGCCATCCTAGATTCATCTAGTAAGCTACTAATTTCACTCTTATTCAAGCTCAAGGGAAGGGGAGGAATGGGGGTGGGGGGGAGAAAGAGAGAGAGAGAGAGAAATGAAATGAAATGAAATGGAGTTTAACGTCCCACTGTTCTGCTCCTAACCTGGGCTAATGAAGACGGGCATACGCCATACAGTGTGCTATGAGGGAAATTTTGCCCGGACAGCGGCACTACGGCCTACTCTTATATCGAATTCCCACTGCCAAGGGATCTTTTACGTGCACGCCAATGTGTACACAGGACCTCGGTTTTTCGTCCCATCCGAACGACTAGACAGCTTTCCTTGTCCTGCATCAATGACAAGGGAGAACCACGCTGGAAAATCTAGATGAACTTTCTCGGCCAATGCAGGGATTGAACACCCGACCTACAGGCTAGCGAGCTAGCGTCTTACCCACTTAGCCACGTGATCCCCCAAAGAGAGAGAGAGAGAGAGAGGTTTAACTTCCACTCAATATGAACAGTAGGTAATTTCGCTGGTTCAATTTTTATTTTAATTAATTAGCTTGAGTATAGAGGTTTTAGCCATGGGAGGAATCTGCAGGATAAACACATAAGGTAGGACAGACAACCCTATTCCTTGTCTTGTACAAGCAGGGAATCAAAACCACACTACTTGACTCAATGACAGACCTTATGATCTAAAGCGCATGCATTAGCCCATTCGGCCTCCCAACCACACAGAAGAAAGTGTGACTGTCACAGAAAGTGAAATTATATGAAATTGGCTTAAACCTCCTACATTTCTGCTCCATATCCAAGCTAATGAAGGCTGGCATATACCATGCAGTGGCCTATAAGGGAATTTTTCCCAGGCAGCAGTGCTATGGTTTACTTTTATTTCGAAATCCAACAGCCAAGGGTTATTTTACGTGTACTGGCTCTCTGTTTATCGTACCTTCTGAATGGCTAGATGTGGTTACGTGCCAAGATTTCTATCATGTACCACAGACAAGGGGAAACCACCCTTGAAAAAACCTGAAGAACCATCTCGGCGGTGGTAAGGAAGCCACCAACTTAATAATTAAGCCACAGCGGCTCCATAGACGCTAGCTCGCTAGCCTGGAGGTCAGGTGTTCGATCCCTGCATTGGCCGAGAAAGTTCATCCAGATTTTCCGGCGTGGTTCCCTATTGTCAGTGATGCAGGATGGAAGGCCTGACAAGGACAGCTGACTAGTCGTTCGGATGGGACAAAAAACTGAGGTCCCGTGTATACATTGGCGTGCACGTAAAAGATCCCTTGACAGAGTAGGCCGTAGTGGTGCTGTCCGTGCAAGTTTCCCTCATAGCACACTGTATGGTGTATGTCAGTCTTCATTAGCCCAGTTCGGAGCAGAACAGTAGGACGTTAAACCCCATTTCATTTCATTTCCATTAAAATTACATGAAATTAGAAATCAATAAATTCTTACTTGAATAAATCTTTGAGTCCTTTCCAGAAATCTTGTCTTTTGATAGTTGCTGAAGCACAGGGAGGAAGTGGTGGTTTCTTTGGAAAATATATCAACATCATCAGGAACACCAAAAGTGCAGCAGCACATTCTGAAGTAAAATCATAAAAAAGAAGAACCAGTCATCATTATCCTACACCCTTAAATTTGTTTCCATGGAAGCATAAAAATTATTAAATTCAAGAAATTTCTGACGAGCAAAATATGTGTACATACTATAATATGTGTACTCAGTTTAAACAGTTTATAAGATATATTCTAGAAACATAACCCCGATTTAAGGACAGATGTATGGTGGCCCATGGTTATCATAGAGAAATGTGTAAAAAATCAACCACAAATATTAAACTGTAAACATAAATTTGAATGAAAATAAAAATTCGCTAAAAATAACAAAAAAGAAATCGAAAATAACAAATAAATTAAATTAAATGAAATAAACAAATAATTTAAATTAAATTAGATTTAAATTAAAATCATTTTTGATAAAAACAAAGTAAAATAAATGTAAATCAAAAACTGAAATGAAAATAAAAATTAAATTAAAATTATTTTTTTTGAAAACTTAAATGAAAAAAAAAATTTTAAAGTTTTTTTTGTTTTTTTTTAAATCGAAAAGTGAAATGAAAACTAAAATGAACATGCCGAAACCAGAGTTATTTCCCCTTTCTTCGCAGTCACGTCAGTCAAAAACTTTTGGCATCATGAAATATGAATAGAATTGGAATGGATCGAAAAAATGAAATCTGGGCGCGCCTCAAAAAGAAGATGTCCAACAAAAGGACATTGCTTCCTCAAACGGCAAGGTACCACCAAGGGAAATACCAAGCGGGATCTCTCACCCGTATTCCAGCACCCGGATTCGAGATCAAGTTAGCACACATATTCCTAGCGCCAAGAAAAACCTAGATATAATTATCACGAAAACAATTGTTAGATATATATTAGAAAGTAAAATTTTAAAACATATTAATGCAAAGTATATATGTATTAGATCCCCTGACCCCACCCCACACCCTAAAATAAGCTATGTTGGCGTATCGAGTTATACTACCGCAAAGTTCCTAGCACCCGGTGGTATAACTCAAAAATCCACCATAGGAAGCTTATGAAATTTTGTATTCTTGTAGTTTATTCATACCTTGATTCCGCGAAACAAAAAACATTTTGCCACCAAAGCTGACTTGGTTCTCTTTAATGCAGCGCGGGTGTACCCTTTGTTTCTTGTACCCACGAACCTCGCCTCGAATCCGGGTGCTAGGAACTTTGCGGTGATATAACTCGATACGCCAACATAGAAAGTTAATGAAATTTGGGATGTTCGTTCATACCTTATCCATCTGTCGATTTGGTGAAATAAAGATTTCGAAGCCACCAAAGTTAGTTTAGACGTTATTGCGTGCATAGTGAGTCTACCCCAACCCGATTCCCCCATATGTTTAGTATGTTTACGGTAATATATCTCGAAATGCCAACATAGGACTATGTGTGCTAACTTGATCTTGATCGGTATTTCCCTTGGTGGTACCTTGCTGTTTGAGGAAGCAATGCCCTTTTTTGCGGTCCTTTTGTTGGACATCTTCTTTTTGAGGCGCACCCAGATTTCATTTTTTCGATTCATTCCAGTTCTATTCATATTTCATGATGCCAAAAGTTTTTGACTGACGTGACCGCGAAGAAAAGGGAAATAACTCTGGTTTCAACGCGTTCGATTACAGTTCCGATTGAATGATAACGATGGGCTGATGATAACGATGGGCCACGTAGAGATATGTGTATTTTAGTTTTCATTTCACTTTTCAATTTAAAAAAAAAGAAAAAAAAAACTTTTAAATTTTATTTTTCATTTAAGTTTTCAAACTTACTTTTTTTTAAAAAATATTTTTAATTTAATTTTTTTTTTTCATTTCAGTTTTTGATTTACATTTATTTTACTTTGTTTTTATCAAAAATGATTTTAATTTAAATCTAATTTAATTTAAATTATTTTTCTATTTCATTTAATTCAATTCGATTTCTTTTTTGTTATTTATTAGCAAATTTTTTTTTTCATTCAAATTTAGTTTTACAGTTTTTAATATTTGTGGTGGATTTTTTACACATTTATTATGATAACCATGGGCCACCATACAGATGCTCACTATTTCAGTATCTCTTCATTAGGCATAGGATAATTTATATATCACCAAAATGTTTGCCTTTGTTTTGGAGCTCAGATGCAAAACAAAATGTAAAAGAAAATCTTATTGTTGATTATGCATTTTCCACCCACGATGTGCATCTATTTTATCTGAACCCACTGGGCTAATAAAGACAGCCCTATTCCATTCAGTGTGCTATGGGGGGAATTTTGCCCAGACAGCAGTACTACATTCTATTCTTATATCGAATTCCAACTTTCAATGCATTTATTTACATGTACATCAACATGTAGGCCTACACAGGACCTCAGTTTTTTTTGTTCCATCCAAGTGACTAGATAGTGTCCTTGCCAGGCCCTCTTTCCTGCACTGTGGACAAGGGGAAACCATGCTAGAAAATCCAGAGAAACTTTCTTGATCAAGACCGGAATCAAACCCTGGATCTCTTGGATAGAGAACCAGCGCCTTTTGTAACTGAGCAACTGCATCTCCAGCTCCCACCAAATCAAAGAGGTCCAGTCATTTTAAATGACATATGACTCAATTTTTTGGAACCATAAATGGGTCTAAAAGCACATATTAATGTAATATGAGAGTATATTCAGTGATTTATATTAAAAAAACATTTTTAAAAATTATAATTTCTAATCAATTACGTTCTGTGAAATATGCGAACAGTCCAAACTGAATGACAATCGTTTACGCCTATATTAGCCTATTCTTCACGTTTATTTTATTGTTATTTTATCATTTGTAAATCAGTCATTACTATTTACTGCCGCATTGTAATTTAGGGTATGTTTTTCTTTGTTAATTGGTTTTGCGCCCGAAACGATATGGTACACGAGTCATGTGCCATATTTTAAAACGTTCATTGTGTCTTAAATATTGGATATTGGGATCCCACATTTTCACGGCAACATGTAACAACATCAATATGGATTGAAATGGACCAATATCAAATTCTAATTTGTGTTTTTAATTTCTAATATTATGGAAATATTGAGTTAGAGACTTAGCTTCTTTAAATAATACATATCAACCTACCGACATACATGAGAAACATAATATGTTTTCTTTCTGCAGTTATCCTTCTAGCTATAAATAAAAATACTCATAATATAATTCACACAGATACTTTGTTCACATGAATTATAATAGTACATGTAAACGAAGGGGGACTGCACCACACACAAAAAAATATACAAGACAAATCTAAGGACAAGACACAATATACAACCATCATAAAGAACAAACATATACATCAGATCAATTGAATGGATCTCGGGGCTAGCTGTAATGTCCACTGCGTTGTACAGTCCTGGGCCTGTGGTGATACAGACTTCACTCAAAAGTAAGAGTATATATTGGCCAGGATCCTAGTACGATGTCATCGCAGCCATCTTGGAAATGTGATGTCATATCAGAAATCGAAGTTTGTCAATAAATGCACAATTGTCTAAGGAATAAGCATGTCAACTTTCATGTCAATCAAAATATAACTGGCAAGGCCTTAGACTTTTTTAAAGAACAACAGGAGGAGATGAGGAATACTTGTTGCACAGTTCCTGGTCCACAAATATAATTGCCTCTAACAGCATTTTGAAGGGTGGCTTTCCAGTTTACAAGGTCGGGAACAACAACTAGATATAAAATTGATGGACAACTGAAGGACTTGTATACAAATATTGGTACCTTGTAACAGAGTACTATAATATCACTACTAATAAAACTCAACAAACCAACAGTGAGGCTCATGTCCTCCGCCATATTCCCAAAATAGACGACACATATTAATTAATTGCACATTTATCGAGCAATCAAACTGATTATCTATACTTAGTCTAAGCAGAAAATGTTCAAGACCGAACTCAGTCAAAGTTTTGAAGTACCTACTAGTGAAACTCTACACTAAGTTATCTCAAGGCATCGACCAATGACCAATCCAACTAATGAATATCTACATCAAGTTTAATCATTCTACCGTGTTATGTTCCAAAGTCTTGACCAATCAAATTAGTTATTGCTACTTAGCCTGAGCAGAAAATTCTCATCGTCGAATATAGTCAAGGTATTGATATAATACTCAAAGAGTTTTATTGCTCTCACCCAATTAGAACCAAAGTTATTGTGTTCCAAAGTCTCAACCAATCGAATTGCTTATCTCCGCTTAGCCTTAGTGGAAAATGAGCATGATCGAGTACTTTCAAGGCATTCGCCTAATAGACACTTACACTAAGCTTGAACATTCAACGTCAATTAGAAGGCGAGTTATTGTATTTAAAAATTTCAACCAATCAGATTTAAGTCTCTAGGTAGCATAAGCAGAAAATGTGAACCATCGATCTTAGTCAAGGTACTGATGTAATGAAACTATACACCAAGTCTCACCACTCACACACAATTAGAATCAAAGTTGTCGAGCTCCAAAATCTCAATCAATCAAATTGTTTACCACTCTGCTTACCCTGAGCATAGAATGCCCATTATCAAAATTAATCAAGATATTGATGTAATGAAACTGTACACCAAGTTTCATCACTTTCACTTAATTAGAACCAAAGTTATCGTGTCCCAAAGCATCAACCATTCAAACTGCTTACCTCTGCTTGGATTAAGCAGAAAATGCTGATCTTTGAACGGCTTCAAGGCATGCACCTTATAAGCACCTATATCTAAGTTTGAACATTCTATCTTAATCAGAAGGAGAGTTATTGTGTCCCAAACAGTGTAACAGGCAGGCAGACAGATGGACGGACCCATTTTAAGAGTCTCCTGCTTTCTTCGAAAGGCAGGGAACAATTAGCTTTTCAACAAATATTAATTACTAGTACTAACAGGAATTGGTTGAAGAATTTATATCATTTGATAGCCACTGTTCAGGATGAAAAACTTTATCCGAAATACTGAAAAAGATAATAATTTAATTCTGAAAATGTTTAAATGGCCATAAAGGTTATCATTGCACGATGGGATTCTCTCTTAGCTAACTATGAGTTATGGCATTAGAAAGTGATTAAGGGCAAAAGCCCATGAAATAACTGGAAGGGAGGGTGGGATAGAGAGAGAGAGGGAGAGAGCATTAAGTGTTCACTCAAGCCAAACAGGGTCATTTTGGGACTAATGTATGGCAAAATTTTATTTCAATAATTTGCATCCACATTTGGGTCTTCAGCAGTGGCAGGAGGCGCGCAGCACCTGGACAAAAACGCATGTGGTGTGGCAGGTGGATCATCTAAACGTATATGTTATTGAAATACATCAATATGTATATTAAAAAAGTGGAAAAGTTTTAAATTGATCAATAAAGGTGAGGCGCACCACACCTATTAGTAAGTGCAGGAGGACCGCACGATACATAAAATTCACAAGACAAAACCACAATATACACAGATATTGAAAACAATAAACGTATATATATATATATATATATATATCAAATCATGTGAATGGATCCAGGGGGCTATCAGTAAGCATCCCTTGCGCTACAGGGGTCAATCAAATCAAAATAAGCAACAACCAACAAACAATATATCTACCAATTATGTTTATAATCCATTGATTATCGTTTAAAATCTAGATAATTAAACATTCCAGGATAATGTACAGAATTTTTCTATTTTTCTCAGGTTCTCTTATCTCGTGACAATTAATTCTTATTATCAACAGTTGGTAAACTGATTGTTATAAATGGTTCCGTGAAAACATGATACATGACACCAGAAATTAAATTCGAAGACAAACCATGAGAGAATTTTTATCAATTTGATTAGGGAAAATCCAATTTTAATTAACTTCTCAGGAGCCCTTAAGGGGAGGCACTGCTCGACAAATATGAATTTTAAAATAACTGGTTTCTAATAATGCTATCAACTTGAAATTTTCAGGAATTGTTCACATCGACAAAATAGGCTAATCGGCAGTTTTGGGGGAATCTGCTTTACTGGTTACCATGGAAACAAAAAAAATCATTTTTACTGCTTAAAAAAAATCGTTCTCTGAAAGTATCAAAGGTAGAAGCCTGGAATTTTTTTTAAAATGTTTCTAGGACATTTCTCTGTGCAATTATCAATATGGTGTTGTTATTGTGTCCTTACATGTCATTCTATTCAACAAAACAAAAATTATGAAAAATGTTGTTTTCAATGAGAGATTTCAAATGCCAATTTACTACACTAAAAATTCATTTAGAGTACTGAAAATCCTTATTTGCATGGAACTAACATTACTTAAGTATGTGTGTAAGTTTCAGACATATCTGTTGTAAACTTTTCAAGAACGATTTTTTGTAAGGTTGTCGACTGTTGATATTTTACTTTTTGAGAAATTAAGACATAAAGAGGTAAAACAGCAAAATTTGAATTGCAAGAGTGTTCAAAAGTGCATTTTTTCTATCATAAACCACTTTATATGTATTTTCTTTAATTACAAGTGAAATAAAAATGAATGAACATCACAAATATGCAAATATAAAAAATCGATAATTTGAGTCAAAATTGACATTTGTCGACCCTTGCCTCCCCTTAATATCTTAAATTCGAGGGAGTACAGCTATATAAACCTGGAACCGTCAACCAAGCATGGCGTCATTGCAGCCATCTTGGAATTATGAAACCATGAAAAATTGAAGTCTGCCGAAAACAGGAAGAAGATCACCAAGTGTAGGCCTATGCAACCAGTTCCTGGTTAAAAACTTTATATCTTTAAATCAAACATACAAAGAATTAAATAGAATCTTCAAAGGAAAATATTTAAGGCAATATAAACATTCTGAACAAAATTCCAATACACTTACTTGATATGACTAGTATTATGAGTATTTGTTGAATGAGATGGTACAAGTAATGGCCCTATTAAATAGATTGTTATGTAATACATTTATTAATATTACATGTATTTGTTTTAACATAACAATATGTTTAAAATACATGTTTAATACCGTCTGGTTTTTATTTCCAATTACTTCAAGCATGCTAATTCAGTAGCTAGTAAGACCAGCAGGCTATGAAGAACAAAATCAGACAGTTCCAACAAGTGGTCTTAATAAAAGGATTTCGTTGTATTTGTTTTTCCAGAATAAACATACAAGCTTAATTGGGATCAAAATCGTGCAACTAGACTCAATGACAGACCTTATGATCTATGCAAACCACTCAACCACCCAAACCCACAGTTACAACAAATCCCTATTGCACTTATTTTAATTATCAAACTTGAATATTACTACTCACCAATCAAAAAGGCCCCTGCTACACCTAGAATATTAGGAATCAGAAATGCTATTGACGTAGCTGTTGTTCTTTCTTTAGGAGGAAACCAGATAGCGGATATTACTGGTGGAGCTGTCATGGCAACAGGTCCACCTAAACCATTTAAAAATTGCCCAGCATGTATAAGCCTGCAATACAGAAGTATGATGAAATTACAATTTCTTCGATGAAAAAGAAAACAAAATCTTTCTCCATAACTGGTGGATGCTTTCACAATAGAAGCAATTCGTCTACACAGTTAATTATCAAATAGAACCATGCAACCACAAAAATAACAAGGGCAATAACTATCCTTACATGGTTTCGGAGGCAAGGCCCATAACTTTGTTGTCTAGGTAAAATTTCCCTGATAGCACACTTCATTTTGTATGCGTCTTCATTAGCTTGGATGGAGAAGAAAAGCAGGATATTAAACCCCATTTCATTTCTGATCAAATATAGACACATCCAAACTTAATCATGGACAACTTTTTATTCTCTGAACTAGTACGTATTTTAAGTCAAATATGTAAAAAAAAAAAAACACTCACCATGTAGAAAGAGGAGGAGTTGACGTAAAACATCGGAGACCTGCTCCTAAAGCAACTAAAAAAGAACTTGATGTACAAGCAATACGAAGACCTAGAAAACAAAAGGAAAAAAATGGACAATGACAATACAAAAGATAAAAAAATTATTTCACAACTAAATTTAAATCTTTTTTGATAGGCATTTAGTAATTGAACATGGCTTAGTATTAAACTCAGTAATTGTGTATCCATAAAATTGTACCTTATGTTAAATTTAAATCTAATTCTGAGTAGAGAGAAAGGGAGTAATGGGGTTTAATGTCTACTCGACATAAATTAGTGGTCTTTAGAAGTGGGAGGAAACCAGACAACCGGCCTTGGTCGAAAAAGTTCATTCAGATTTTCCGACGTGGTTTCCCCTTGTCAGTGGTGCATGATCGACAGAGGGCCTGACAAGAACAGCTGTCTAGTCATTCGGGTGTGATGAAAAACCAAGACTCCCTGTATACATTGGCATGCACGTAAAAGATCCCTTGGCAGTCACAATTCGATATAAGAGTGGGCCAAGTTCCGCTGCCCGAGCAAAATTTCCCTCATAGCACACTGTATGCACACTGTATGACAGGCATATGCCCATCTTCATTAGCCCAGTCAGAGCAGAACAGTACAACGTTAAACCCCATTTCATTTCATTTCGGACAAACCAGAGAAAACCAACAAGGCTGGGCATGCGACCCTGTTAAACTACACTTATAGTTTAACTTAAACCCAAGTTTATTTTATCTGCTAGTTAATTTACACACCTGCTAATTAAAGACTTTTCTTTCTACCTGTACTTACTTTCTACACATACTAAACATTAGTTTAGAATAATGATCACTTGTAGGATTTAAAGGTAAAAAGTTTTATTGGCAAAAGGCCTCAATTCATACATAAACAATAGGATCTAAGGAAGATAACTCTGTTGATTACCTTTGACTCCAATCATCCATGAGAAGAATATACCACTAATAAGATAGGCTATCGGACCCCAGTTTGATAGCAAGGCAATATCACCATCATTCCAATCAAATGCATCTTTAGCAGAATCAGAAACTGGCCCCCACGCATTCCAGATTAAATTTTGGCAAGCACCAAAGCATGAAAATATCAGCAGAACATACCATCTCCTCTTATAAACCTAAAATAATAATAATGTAATTAATTTGATAATGTGCAAAAACTCCAATTGCAATGAGTATTTGCAACTTTGAATTACCGTATCTAAATAATTCCATCAAACTTTGAAAAAGAATCTTGAAAACCCTGACCTTTAGAGTATCTACATGTTGGTGACCTGGGCAATTTTCTCTACCATAAAACCAAATTTATTACAGGACTAGCATTTTATTTCAATAATTTGATTGCACGCAAGGCTATTTAGCAGTAGGTTGAAACTTGTGGATCCAGAGGAAACCTACGAGGTTGGGCAGGTAACCAATAAACTTAGGATCGAAACCACACAATCTTAGCAACATTATCATGATTTATAAATTTGTTTTTCAGTTCCTGTTTCTGTTGCTATGACAATGATGTCTTAAAGGGACAGTTGCACTCTTGCTGGCTTGGCAGCTCCAGAAAATAAAAAATAGCCTTATTCTAAGTACTAGATGTGTTAGTGTCCTACCTGTTGTGTAAATTATTTTTAAGTCACATTTGAAAAGCTTTACGTCAGGCTTTTCAAATCATTTAGTTGAATTTTTCCAATTTTTTAAATTAGGTGTGTTAAGATGAAATTTGTATCATCAATTAATTGGAATATTGTAAAATAATACAATTTGTTGACCAGAATAAAGATTAGGACATATTATTCAGTTACAACAAGAGTGGTATTGAGCCTTTAAGTGAATGTATTCATCTGGACGAGTCCTTAACAGCAGGCCTTCACGTCTAAAAAGAAATTGTGGGAATTCGAACAAATTAAAAATCGCTCTCCTGAAATTAAGGACAGGAGGAGATGATACGTGTAATCAAATGTATTAATGAATAAAACACTGTATCACTACATGTATCAGGTTTCTTTTATACAATGTAATGCATTTGTATTATATATAAAAAAGAAAAATAGATTCATCTCAATATTTTCTGTACCGCCTTTAAGTTCATGACAATAATAATCCCAAATAATTACCTGCCTTCGTTTATACTATAGAAATAAAAGCAAAATGTCCATGATAAGAATACACATACTTCATGATGTCTAATAATCATTTAACTTCCCTACCTTCCCAATCTTAATATTGTTGATAGTTGTGGTTGTTTTATCTTCATGATGTCTAATAATCATTTAACTTCCCTACCTTCCCAATCTTAATATTGTGGATAGTTGTGGTTGTTTTATCTTGTGTATTATTTGGTTGAGTATTGATAAGAAGAGTACAGGCCCCCTGTTCACAAAGCATTCTCAGACTTAAGTTAAGAATTTACTCAAAATTTTTCGTCTTATTTTTACTTAAACATAGCCCCTTATAAAACTCTTGTTATTTTAATATATCAAATACATCAATAAGAAACTATGTGCAAATTTTTGTTTTTCTGAATCAAAGATATTTCTCTTAAACAGTGATTGAAAGTTGAGTAAATTCTTAACTTCAGCCTGAGAATGCTTTGTGAACTTGGAGCCAGAGGTTTAAGACTCTTCCTTAATATTGTGTGTAATTGTGGTTGTTTTAATCGTGTGTATTGTTTGGTTGAGTATTGATAAGAAGAGTACAGGTTTAGGACTTTTCCTTAATATTGTGTGTAATTGTGGTTGTTTTAATCGTGTGTATTGTTTGGTTGAGTATTGATAAGAAGAGTACAGGTTTAGGACTTTTCCTTAATATTGTGTGTAATTGTGGTTGTTTTAATCGTGTGTATTGTTTGGTTGAGTATTGATAAGAAGAGTACAGGTTTAGGACTTTTCCTTAATATTGTGGGTAATTGTGGTTGTTTTAATCGTATGTATTGTTTGGTTGAGTATTGATAAGAGTACAGGATTAACAGTTTACCTGAATATTGTGGGTAATTGTGGTTCTTTTATCTTCTGGATCATCTGGTTGATTATTGATAGAAGAGTATGTGTAAGGTGGAGGAGGGTCTGATGGCACACTGACTATTTCGCCTTTAAGTAGTGGAGAGTTCTCTGCATATTGGTTGGAACTCATTTTAGTGATTTACTTTTCTTCAAAGATATTCAAGTCCTTTTTCTTCTTTTTCGGGTTTCATGCCATCATCTTTTAGTCCTAATCTAAGATTAAAATCAAAACAATTAATTCAAACATATACAATTAAACCACAAGTCAGGGAGCCTACGGTTGCTAAGTGGGCAAGACACTGACTCGATCGCTAGCCTGGCCCCTGCATTGGCCGAGAAAGTTCACTGGGATTTTCGGACGTGGTTTTCTCTTGTCAGTGGTGCAGGACGGAGGGCCTGACAAGTACAGCTATCCAATCTAGATGTTGGGATGGGACATAAAAACTGAGGTCCTGTGTATTGGTGTGCATGTAAATGATCCCCTGGCAGTTGGAATTCAATATAAGAGTAGGCCATAGTGCTGCTGCCCAGACAAAATTTTCCTCATGACACTCTGTATGGCATATGCCCGTCTTCATTAGCCCAGTAGGGTCTCTCACAGAATCAAAGTTAAGGCAGGTTGCTACACTGTATATTAATTAATTTTTATATACAATTGGTATATAGTTCTATATGTTTGATTCAATCATCCAGTCCAACCTTGCCTCTGATATGAACCGGACCAATATCAATATCAGTTTATAACACACTGCATGGGAACAGAAACTCATGCAAGCCAAGTGGCACTTGAGCATTGATCAAATTTTGTGTGTTTGGTTGTTTATCTTAATGAAAAAATAATTTGGACTAGGCCTCCCACATAACAATATGATGTTAATTTTACATTACATTTACGTAAAAATGGTCAGTCAGTTTACCATCATTTTGCTCATCTTTTTAACGATAATTTTACGTCAGGAAATGACGTTAATCTAACGTAAACTTTACGTCATTTTTACGTTATATTTACGTCATTTTCTGACGTAAATCTAACGTAAACTTTACGTCATTTTCTGACGTAAATCTAACGTAAAATTTGCGTAAAGTTTACGTCATTTTCGTTAGATTTACGTCAGAAAATGACGTAAACTTTACGTTAGATTTACGTCAGAAAATGATGTAAATATAACATAAAAATGACGTAAACTTTACGCTAGATTAACGTCATTTCCTGACGTTAAATTGTCGTTAAAAGGATGAGCAAAATGATGGATATCTAACCGACCATTATAACGTAAATCTAACATTAAATTAACATCATTTACGGATGCAATTCTAATGTCAAATTTTGATGAGCATTAAAACCTTCAAAATTATTCATTATTCGCCGCAGTAAATGGGAAGTACATTCAACCAATAATCAAATTTTCCTGACCCGTGGGTGAGGCTAAAAGTTGAGTGGTCCAACGTGTGCGCTTTAGATCATAAGGTCTGTCATTGAGTCAAGTGGTTTCTTTCCACACCCAACTTGAACATGGGTTTTCTCTGGGTCCTCCTACTACTAAAGATTCCTGGTGCGGATGAATTATTCAACTTGAATTGAATCACTTAGTCCCAAAGGACAGTTTATGTCTATTGGATGTTTTACCCCACTGCTCTCTATCTACCCATAACCAGTCAGAATTCTAAATGTATTGCACAGAAAAGTTAAAAATCTAGCAGAATTATATGACAAAATATACTACAAGTATGTATACATATACTTTATTTAAAAGACAAAAATATAATGTTATAAAATACAAAATACACATTTAAATATTAACAGTTTTTATCCACAGCTGTTTCAGAAATGAAGACGGGCATATGCCACACAGTGTGCAGAGCTATGGCGTACTCTTATATAAAATTCCAACTGCCAAGGGATCTTTCACACACACACACTTGAGTATACACTGTACCTTGGTTTTTTTTGTCCCTTCCGTATGACTAGTCAGCCATCCATGTCAGGTCCTCTGTCCGGCATCACTGACAAGGGAAAATGTTCAAGAAAAAGGTCTACATTAGCGCTATGAAAGTGTTGATATGCATATAAGAAAGAAAAAACTGGGATATTGACCAAATTGGGCCAAAACCTATAGCCTCTATCTTATTTGCTCAAGGTATTGATGGAATAGGAGTTAACTTTGGAATGAGTGAAATGAAATGGGGTTTAATGTCCTATTCCGACAGGGCTAATGACATGGAAATATGCTATACAGTGTCCTATTATGGAATTTTATCCAGACAGCGGCGCTAAAGCCTACTCTTATATCGAATTCAAACTGCCAAGGGATCTTTCACGTGCGAACCAATGTGTGCACAGGACCTCGGTCATTCGTACCTTCCAAACGACTAGACAGCTGTCCCTCCTTGTCAGGCCCTCTGTCCTGCACCTCTGACAAGGGGAGGAAACCAAGTCTGGAAATCACGAAGAATTTTCTCGGCCGACACTGGAATGGAATGTTGTGGAATACTGAATATTGATAGGTTTCGTCCTCTCATGATTCCAGTGTGTAACACAAATTTGAAAAAGATCAATTAAGAATAAAGACAGCATCTATTGCATTTGAAAAAAGGAGAATTAACCAAGGAAGGCAAAGTCCTGAAAAGCTGTATATTGATAATGCTTGTCCTCTCACAATCGGAATGATTCACATTTCACACCCAGTGTACGGACAAACAGGGCCAAAATTGATATGTGGGTGTATAAACAAAGATATATACTACACCAATATTACATGTGTTGCAGAATTGGTTTAACACATTTCAAATATAATTGTAACACGGATATTTGCAATGGTTGATCCATGACAAAAGATTTGAAATATTTTGAAGAGACGCAAAAGGTTACGCCATACAGTGTGCTATGAGGGAAATTTTGCCCAGGCAGCAGTGCTATGGCCTACTCTTGTATCGAATTCCAACTGCCAATGTGTACACTGGACCTTGTTTTTTTTTTCCCATCCAAACGACTAGACAGCTGTCCTCGTCAGGCCCTCCGTCCTGCATCACTGACAATGAGAAACCACACCGGAAAATCAGGATGAACTTTCTCGGCCAATGCAGGGATCGAACACCCGACCTCAAGGCTAGCGAGTCAGTGTCTTACCCACTTAGCCACATGATCCCCCCTTGGCCTACATGTATGTATATGTAGAGATGAATTTTGAGCTACCTTTATATATATCTTTCTATTTTTAAAACCTGCGACAAGTATATTTATATCAAGGATGTAACCCTCTATCAGTTAACCCGTCACAGATTGGTTGCATTGGTTCAAAATATTCGTTTCATATCATACCTGACCTTCAAATCCAGGAATTGTAGCCACAACGGGGATCACGTTGGTTAAGTCCGTAAGACACTGGCTATCTAGTCTGGAGGTCGGGTGTTCGATCCTTGCATTGGCCGAGAAAGTTACTCCAGATTTTCCAGCGTGGTTCTCCCTTGTCAGTGATGCAGGACAGAGGGCTAGACAAGACAGCTATCTAGTCATTAAAATGGGACAAAAAAATGAGGTCCCATGTACACATTGGCGTGCACGTACAAGAGCCCTTGAAATTAGAATTCGATATAAGAGAAGGCCGTAGTGCCACTGTCCGGGCAAAATTTCCCACATAGCACACTGTATGGCGTATGCCCATCTTCATTAGCCCAGTTCAGAGCAAAACAGTAGGACGTTAAACTTTCATTTCACTAGCCACAGCTCTGTTTTCTTTCACCAAAGGGGGGTGGGGTGGATGGCTGAATGGTTAGCGTGCGCGCGCTGTATCATAAAGTCTGTCATTGAGTTGACTGGCGCGGTTTCGAATCCCCGGTTGTACGTGGCAAGGAGTAGGGTCGCCTGTCCAACCTCGTGGGTTTTCTCCGGGTCATCCGGTTTCCTCCCCCTGCTAAAGACCCCTACGCGCAAGCGAATTATGTAAATGAAAAATTAAACCATGTTAGTCCCGAAATGACCTAGTTTGTGTCCAGTGGACAGTAAACCCCATTTCTCTCTCTCTCTCTTTCACCAAAGGGGGGGATCAAGTGGCTAAGTGGGTAAGACGCTGGCTCGCTAGCCTGGAGGTCGGGTGTTTGATCCCTGTATTGGCCGAGAAAGTTCATCCTGATTTTCCGGCGTGGTTTCCCTTGTCAGTGATGCAGGACAGAGGGACTGACAAGGACAGCTGTCTAGTCGTTATGGGACAAAAAAACGGGGTCCCGTGTAGACATTGGCGTGCACGTAAAAGATCCCTTGGCAGTTGGAATTCGATATAAGAGTAGGCCGTAGCCCCGCTGCCCAGGCAAAATTTCCCTCATAGCACACTGTATGGCATATGCTCGTCTTCATTAGCCCAGGTTAGGAGCAGAACAGTAGGACGTTAAACCCCATTTCATTTCATTTCTTTCACCAAAGACCACATAAATACTTCATTTAGCACTTGTCATTTGAAACAGTTATAGCATAAGTCGATGTTGAGTATAAGTCAAATTGCCAAATTTTACATTTTTCCGACCTACATCCATAATTAAGTAGAGGCGGTATATAAGACTAATGTTTATCCTAGTCTAATACCGTGCCGGTGTACCCCGAAGAAAAGTTGGGCCATATAAATAATGAGGGTCTGGGACAGTTGTCAATAACACTTGCATTTATAAACAAACATGAATAGTGATGACGAATTAGGATTCAATAAAAAAAAAAACATAGATATGGCCCATGAAGAGAGAAATTTTACAATAAAAAAAATTAAGAGTGTTGGATATTGAACTGACAATGCAATCAAATGGATTTTCGGAAATGGCATTCTTATATAAATTTCATGGGCGTCAACATCTTGTTTTAGGACTAGTTACCTCCCTTAGACTTTGTTTATGATAATGTAAAAGACCGGATAATCTAGCCTATGACCGATTATTCTCAAATGTTGACAACGCAACCACACTAATATTCGTAGAATATAGAATATTTTTTTCTAGATGATAGAGACTAATAATATGCCAATATTGAAATGTGTGCATAAATATGGTATATACTTAACTACACCAATATTATACCTATGTCATAGAATTTGTTACACACATTACAAATATAATCTTAATAGAGATCTTTGCTATGGTTGATCTATCAGTAAAAATTGGAAGATTTGTAAGGAACGCAAAAGGTTATTGTTTACTGGCTGCAGCAGGGAGCAATAACAGGAACACAGATG